TGTGCATACTTACTGCGATTCGTTAAACTGCAGAGTGTACCCAAACTACAGAACGTGCCCAAATGAATGGTACACGTTTAAACAAACATAATGCAGTGGACTATTGCACTATACGTTTTCGTTTACACATTTCGCGCGGCGTAAATGTGATGTATTCGCAAGCCCATGACAGCTGAAGTTCATCCCAGGTGTACAAGTATGGAGATATTTCCAGCAAGGCAGTAGAACCGGGTTTCCCGAAGTCACATTTATCTCTGTTCAGCCCTCACAGAATCTTCCAAAATCTGAGAACCAGCGTAAACGTGCTTCTCCAGCAGGCTTCCATTTTCTATCACACAAACGTTTCATCACATGAGTAGAAGCCAGATCCAGGGCATGACACACGCACATCCCGTAGTTCTAGTTAGATGGACTTAGGTCATTGTCAGTGCAGCCCTCGCGTATAGAAACTGGAATTCTTGCTAGTTGTCACATCACTTTGGTGCGCATTTCGGAGTGAACCCCAGGATAACTGAAAGTTAGGCCGCTTCGGCCACCATTAGGCTATTTGCAAAATGTACGTGTTGCAGTTATGCAAGGGATACATTCACAGACTTATCCCGCGCGGCCGACTGATTACGAAGGACGTTCGTACGCCTGGTCGTATTGCTGGCAGTTGTTCTTAATTTAATACCCGATCAACTTCAAACGACTTCAGTTGCAATCTGGATGTTTATTGTTGCTGTCAGACTGCATGTGGGTTCGCTAACCTTGTGCCGAAATTAAACCGCATTTGTTGCATCAATATCTTACTCGTGATTTCGCAAACGTCTAGCATGTAAGCCGTCGTTACCACCGCCTAACCGTGGATGTATTCACCTCAGAATAATTTGGCATTAGGCAACATTGGACGCTGTGATCCCTGGTCTTGTGCATGTGTTACAGAATAACCTATCCTTATCTAAGCAGTTGTACTCGAAAAAACGCCCAACGTGAAACGTGAAATGCACGAGGGACCGCCTCCGATAAAAACACAACAACAATCCTTGATCCCAAAATGCATGTGAGCCCGCGACTGTCGAAACATTCAAACTGCGCAATTTAGAAATAAGACAGCTATTCCTGAGATAAGAAAAAAGGCTGTCACTATTCTCGCATTGAATCTGGGTATCTACATCACCCAGTCGTAGCTCATTGTTCAAAGCCGCATTGCTGTGAAGCTACCGGTGTTCACTCGTGCCTGGGAATGACAGGAGTTTCTTGTCACATTTCAGTCGCCTGGCGGCCGAGCTGGTGGTACTCTCGTTAGTGGTGCATAAATATTTTCCAAACCATTGTCAATCCAACCAGAGCAGACGGGTGTGGGATAACAAAACGATGCAGTGAATCTCCCTGATGTCCTCTTAAACGACTTGTCGCGGTTAGAAGTTCCGGGCATCAGGTCATCAAAGAACACTTTTACTGAGGATATATTTGCTCCATTTTGTGTCGTATTGATATGCTTTGCAAATTTCAAACCAGGCTTCTTGCTCACCATTTACGTTCCAGCTGCAGACGCAATCACAAACCGCCGAGGTAATAGAGTCGAAAACCATTGTAGAAATATGCGCATGTCTGAAGATTTGTGTAAACTGAGTCATTGCAACTGAATTTTTCATCATAGACAGTAAAACCAGTAGCCAAGCAAAATTTCGTTAGATAGTAACGTATTTTGGCGGGAATTTTCGGAACGCCCAGTGCGACAGGCGAAATCGGACTTATCAGAGGAACACAGGACTGCCAAATGTGAAGAAAAAGTTTTATAACTCAAAGCATATTTGATGACATTTATCCACGTAACTCACACCGGTAAATGTTTTCTCACTGAAAACTTCAAATGGCTTTTGACTTTCTTCTGGTGTCGGTTTTGCCAAACAAAGTTTCTGAGTTGCTTTCCTGAGATCCTCGTTCTAAGATTTTGGGTCATCCAGTGGGCAGGTTTTGTTTCCCTTTCAATCAATTCATCGATAAAATCACATATTATACATTAGTCACCCAAACCATCTCTCCATCTAATAACGAGAACATTCGTCTCACTATTTTCACACTAAGACATATATGTGTATTTTACATGACAGCTTTAAATGCTGCACTGCATCCGCGTGAGTTGCAAAACTGCGGCCCACTCACTGAGACTTATTAAATGTTTCATCCAGTTATTTGCCTGCGTTCAGGTCAGTATATTTCGATGCACTCTCTAACCTGCCAAAATAACTGAGACATATATAATGTCTTAATTCCAGCAGTTGATAGAGAGCTATAA